ACAATATAAACCAAACAACTCCTATTATAAAAACCATTGAATGGTAGCCTAATAAGTTCAACAATGAAACTAATGATAAAATCAGCGACTAGTAAAAGTCATATAAAATGTTTACCTTGGATGCAAATGTATTGTCCAAATAGAACTTGAAAAACTAAAAACTTCAAAAATCACAGCCCAAGAATGAAAGGTTAAACTCCAAATATAAATTAGAAAGCTCAAATCTTTAATAATAAAACTACCTATGGCAAAGGCTACGCACCATCTGAAATGTTAGCAAAATAACCCATTTTCTTTTCATCTGCACTGCACTAAATCAGAGCAACAACAAATCAGTATTATAACATGCACAAACAAGATGTTGACCGAAACACATACAAACATAGAGAAGACTGAGAAGAAAGAAAGAAAGAAAGAACTGAAATTCAGAGGTGAGCACTTTTTCTCCACAGCCACTTTGTACAGGTTTCCTGATCATATATTCACTAACGGTACTTGATTTTGGGAAAATCTGGAAAACTATTGCATATATGACTATGGGCAAGGATGGAGACAAGATAAGATGAATGCAGCTCTCAAAAATTTAAACTACATCAGCAACTAAGTATAAAACTAATGTATAGAATCCTCACCTTGTCTGCAAATGTATCTAAACAGAAATTAGAAAGTGAAATCCTGCACAAATAAGACCAAGATTGAAACCTAAAACTCAAAAGATAATCATAAAACTCAAACCAAAATAGCTAGTAAAAACTAGCTACTGAAGATTGGATCACAATGCTAAAAAGTCTAAAAATATGTAAGGGATATCTGGCCCATCTTCACGAGGAGTTACACGCAACATGTATAATGCCATTATGACAAAAGTTACATAACAAACCCCAAGTACCTTTAAACATGCCTAACCCAAATCGATATTGATGGCACATCTAATATCATTTTTACTGAATATGAACCTACACAAGCATTTCTTTTTTTACTTTTTTTAATCGTAAAGTAACTTTCATTAAAACCCCAAATAGAGGCAACCTGCACAAGCATTTAGTACACTACGGAGTAGAACAAAAAATATTATAAATGAAACCCAACAGAAATTTTATAGAAGCAAAAGTTGCCATACAAAAATGAAGGAGAAATCCACGCCAAGACTAATGATTTTATAAATTTCTTGTAGGTATGACAACATCACTTAGGAAAACTCAGTTCATCAATTAAACTAGAAAATTTAGAAATGCAAAACAATCTACAATAGAAGGAGAAGAAACCTGAGCTGCAAGATGAGTACCATGAGAAGAAGCTGACAAGATCATATGAAATCATCATCTTGTCTACAAATTCTTGGTCCAAAGAGAAATTAAAAATATGAAAACCTGTACAGATCACAGTAAGAAATTAAAACCTAAAAATGAAAATAGAAATTAGAAAAATCGAAGCCTAAATAATTAAAATTATTTTATGGCAGAGGGCAATGTCGTTCCTGGAAGCGATTGGAGCTTCTTTGAACTAGGAAAATACTGGAGAGCTAGAAGAAGAGAACTTCTTGATGTCATTCGAAACAAAAATTTGAAAAGCATCTATACATGAAATAGAGAGGTCTAGGTTAACAGAAAAAGGGGAAGCAAAGAAAATAAGGAAGAGAAAAGCATGCGGGTCTCACCAGATCTGAAAATGGAGAAGTCTAGTTGTGCAGATGAGAGAGGGAAACGATGTAAGGAGAGAGGAGAAAGGAGAACCCTACCCAAACACGAATTTTGAGATTTCCAACTTTTTTCTCTTTGGATTTCTGTTTCCAATTTAAGAAATGAAGAAAGAGTGGAAAACCAGACTCTGATATTTTTGGTTTTGGAATGAAGGAAAATGGCTTATCGAAGAGGAAATAGGAATTGAATATAGGGCGAAACACATGGATAAATTTTGAGCGAAATGAAGACCCGCGAACTAGCCCGCTTATTTTCCTTAGGATATTTTAGGAAGTGTCAGGTATAAAGGGGTTTTAATTGACATTCTTTATAAAATGTCAGGGAAAGTGAAAGAAAGTTGACGCTCTTTATAAAATGTCACGAAAAGTGATGTATAGTTGATGTTTTTTGTAAAACGTCAAGTAAACTTGCTAAGTAGTTGACGCTTTTAAAAAACCGTCAAAGCTTCGTAGGATAGTTGATGGTTTTGAAAAAAACGTCAACTATGAAGTGTCAACTAAAGCATGTTTTCTTGTAGTGAATCAAAGTCCTCGTTTGAGTCCTCAAACTTCCAAATGAATCAAAGTAGACTTTTCCTTTTCAACCTCCCCACTAGCAATTGATGATTACCATAACCATTGATCTTCAATTTTATGTATTTTTCTGAATAAGGAGAATCGTTGGATTTTGAAGAATTGCGCACGACTTTCTGCAACAATTGTATTTTTTGTTTTTTGTTTTGAGGAAAATGTTGAGAACGATTTTTAGTTTGACAAGAAAATAATGTTTAGTTTAACTATTTGAAATAAAATTTAGTATATGGTTCATTAAAGCTTCACTAGGTCCAATCTAAATGTGGTGTTGGAATTTAATTTTTTCCTAAACCAGCATACCTTTGAAGGGTTAATTGTTTTATTAGTCCCTGAACTTAGACCCGATTTGCATTTGAGTATCTCAATTTCTACAATGGTTCCTGTGGTCCTTCAACTTCACTTTCGTTAGTACAATTGGTCTTGCCGTCAATTTTGTTAACTTTTTCTGTTAAATGCAGGGGCAAAATAGTATTTTTATATTAAAACAAAAAAAAAA